GGAAATAAAGGTGTTGCTGCAACATTATATCGGTTTATATTGCTAATAATGGACCTTTAAGAAAATACTGAGTTGTGTGTAAGGGTGTTGACCATACTTTTCTGACCATTGTGTAGTGAGAATAGAATCCGGGTTATTATTAAATAATGGTGCGCTTTTAGGAATTGTTTTTCTTGAGAGACAATGTACTAGATATAGGAAAGTTTTTCAATTTATGCATTAAAATGAGTGTGTTCTTTACAAGTGATACTGTTTAACTACTATCAATATTTTATGTGAATAAAATCCAGTACTTGGTACTTGCTGGTGGGATACCGCCTTGTACCAGTGATTTACGAAACCAGGTATACTGCTCGAAGGCCCATTTTCGGTTTTACATAAAAGTTGATTCAATATAGACTTGGCAGCAAAACCCCATACAAGGCTGTAATAATTAAGGTGTGACTGCACAAAACTTTGATAAATTTGAAGACGTGCTTCGAGAGGCAGATATTTTTTTAAGCTTGTATGATGACTCCTATGTATTGGACATTTTATTTTCATGGCAGAATATGATAGGACCAGTTTAGTTTATCATCTATTATAACTCCTTAAAAACGGGCTTCTGTTTTACTCTCAATTGTGACACCAGATATTGCCACATCACGATAATTAAGATTTCTTTGTAGAGAGAAGATCATTATTATTATATGGTAACGGTAAGGATTGTCTGTGTATGTCATAATCGTCTGCACTCTGCATGTTATCGTCTCGTTTTTTATTTGTTATCCATATCATGTTCTGTGTTACAATAATTTCAAGCAGCTGTTAACAAAAATACCCATTTCACTTTTCAGAATTCAATTAATCACTGTCAGCCAAAACTCACAATATCACAAGAATTCAAATCATGGGGCGCAAAGGTATGTCTCATATCATTACGTAGGTTAAACGCTAGTTTTGTACAAATCCCCTCAGTTTATTGCAGCTCATCATTAAATCAGGATTAAGTACACATTTAAAAAACCGGCCCAGTAACTTTCAACCTTATTTCTTTATTTTTGGAATTTTTGAGACGCTTCAAAGCATTTTTTTCTGATCCAATTAATCTCGGTTAATCTTTTGTAAGCCGTGTTTCTCATGTCGAGAACTAGGTTGGTACAAGTTTTCATTTGAAATTTTTTCAAGGAGATATTGCAACTTTTTAAGCCAAAGGTGCGAAATATTTTAAGGTTTTTTGATGTTTTGCCAGCTTTACATTTTTTACCCTGACTGCAACTTTTTTGAGGTCCCACTTCTCACTTAAACTTATCTTCATAAAACGCACACTCATGTCCCATAATATTAATATGAATTATGAAGGTATTCAAAGACCACCGCCACTATCTAAGTGCATATCAATTTTAAGGTGTAAACCATTTCATCTTCAGGTATCAACAAATACACCGCATTTGGAAACCCTGATAAGCTATACTGCGATGCTGGAATACTGCTACGCTAATGAAAGAAAAATTTAAAAAGTAAGATTTTTAGAGACCCAAATTATTTTTTATCAATTTAATTTGGATATGTTTGTTGAAAACTTTAAAATTGAAAATTACGTACTTTCCCCATCGAATTCTGCGATGGTGATCGCTATCTAAATTTACTATTCAGCATTTTTTCAACATGTCTAGTACATGATATTTATATCTCCCTTAAATTCAACTCTTAATAAATCACGTAATTCCCTCAGAGAGATAATTAAAGAGACACCGGAAGATATGTTCACATTCCTACCTCCCCCCGAAAACAGTTCATGAAGGAGTTCCGTAAACCCTTGCTGGAAAGGGAAAGAACCTTCTGGGCGAAGAAAATTATTTTGTATTCCCTACTTCTACATTATCGGCTTCACTAAGTGTGGTTAGTGATTGAAATTTTTGGTTTGACCGCATATTTTTCCTCACTTTTTTTAATCCTTCAGCAAGTTTGGTGCGTTTAGTTCTCTTTGGATGTCAACTTATTCGGCCGATGGCTTAACAGTAAAACTATAACATCTAGGAACCACTGACCTATTTGCGATACTGAAAAACCACACTCACGTTTCCTCTCACGATCTGGAAAGAGACCCACTACTTTGACAGACTCCGAAGAGGACGCAATTATTAGGATGAACAGAAAACCAACCAGACGTGAGTAACATTTAAAATTCTTGAAGGAGCCTATTTAAATTTTTGAAGGAGCCTTTTTTACATTTTTAAAGGAGCCTATTCACATTCCGTATTATCAGATTGGACTTTGACGTTGATTTTCAAGAAACGCCCGTTCGATTAGATCTCTTCTAATTTGTAAATGTCACTTGTTGACAGGAATTTAAGTCACATTCTCACGGTTGCCTATCATAAATATTTATTTCGACCATCCGAAGGAGATTGCAATCCATAACATTACGATTACACCATAAAAATTGTCTTAAATATATTACCGGATATCTCATATCTGGAGTCTGGGATGATTTGTAACATATTCTTCCTCCAGTTCCCGTGTCGTTCCTTTCGTGGACAAAACGGGGGAAAATTCAGACAGAACCTCCTTTTACTTACAGAAAAGATAACGACAGTGACGTCCTGTTTCATGGTATGTAGTGACGTTCATGGTGACGTCACAGACAATAAATGCCACGGGCGGAGACAGCTGTAACTCCTCCACTGTTCATAATATAATGTTTGTTAAATCCTCCGCTTACTTTTGATTTTCATTAATTTCAAAGTTTTTAAAATAAAATCTCCCCGCTAGGAATCACGATGGACGCAACCCCCTCAGCAGTTTGGGATAACGAGTTTTGGGAGGTGTTTCATCCTGGATACAGGGAACCTCCGGTTACTAACCCTGATGTTTATTGCCACTATTAACCTGACACTAGAATTATATTATCCCTCAGAAACCCAATTAGCAGGTACAGTTTTATGGTTTGTTCTTGAATTATTAATTATGTTCGTTCTATATGTCGTTTCTGGTCCCTCCGTGTTTGAGTTGTTGATTTTTACATAATATTATTTTCTAATTGCTGTTAAATTTTTTTCATTTTTTTGTAATCTATTCGAACAAGAGAATATGATCTGTTATATTTGATCTCAATTTTTTTAAACATCTTCACCAAATCACTATTTCAGATGCAGGTCCGCGTACCAGTTTTTCTGCGCGTTCCGTGTGTACGCAGTGTGACAAGCCGGTCACACGGAGAAATTCCACAATTTAGTGGGAGAAGCAGTTAAAATGTTCCGCGATTGCCGGAAGACTAACACGATCGAGGGCTGGCGTGTACAGCACCGAATCTCATCAAACTTGCGGTAATTACATTTTTAGAATCATTCCTTAGCCAATAAATGATAATGGGAAAAATAAAGATACTAAGTATTACGTTACTCATAAAATGAAATAGCGAACATTTCCATCGCCATTAATTTAATTGTAGATATTTCAAAGATTGTGTGAAAAGTACTAGATGATCTTTTATTACCAAAGTTCTCAAAATCTAATTCTGATAACTGTTCAGACTCATCTATACGCGAGTATTTATACTCCGTGTACGTTGCTGACTGGCTGAAAGTCTTCCCACGGGAACAGATTCACGTTATGATGTTCGAGGAGCATATTAGTGACGAGATCGCTTCTATTTAAATGGCGTCTGTGATTTCTTAGGAATATGTAAGTTAATTTTATTTTATTTTTGTTGAAAGAAATGTTACTAAAACAACCTTCGTGTACGGAAAAATAAGCCAACAATCGACTTGAATAATTAAGTTGTAAGTTATCTTTTTTTATATTTTCTTCTTTTTCAGCACGGTTCCCAGTGGACTACATGAAGACCTACCTCGAACAGCATAAAGTCAGAAATTCACTCCGCGACTCCGCTCGAATACCTTATATACTCCCTGAAACTAAAAATCTTCTCAAAGATTTCTTTAAGCCGTTCTTAGAGTAAGTTAATACAAATCGTTCAATCGATATTTCAAAGATGAGCAAGATGGTTTCCTTTATAATCAGACACTCTAAGAATAATTTATATCTTGATATAACGTTGAACTGAAGCGTCTGACTTGGAGCCAGTGAATTTTTAAACTCCCACGAAACTTATCTGATAATATTAATCTCCCAGCGATCTGGTGGAAATGTTAGGAGATAAGAAAATGGTACTGGAAACTCTACGAGTAACATTCCAGAACCTTCCACCACCACGCACCAGCTCCCTTTTTATCACAGTCCAGCAACACAGTCTAACAGTCCGTATGACTGTATGAGCCCTGAAACCTGACTAGGATAGGTACTGCTGCAGTTATTGTTTTTTTGCCGCTGGGCGGCTCAACTAAAGTTTTGGTTACCAAATAAGTGGGGACTTCACGACTGATGTCATCTCTCCTGGTGCATTGTTTGGTCGCCCTTAGTTGCCGTGGTAACATCTGTATCCCTTTGTTGACTACAAGAACAAGGCCCTCGTTCAGTTTATCAGATTAAATGTTAATCAAACTGGCCTATTGCTGTTTCGGGGATATATTATAATTATGTACTAAATGCTTTTTTTTCGATTCTTTAATCATTTCTGTTTATTTTTCTACGGGTTATTTCAGCCATATTTCAAACAAATTCCTTTTTTATAGCCGAGAAGGCGAGAAAACACTCTATTTATTCTGAAAGCTAGAGATGTAAATAATTTGATAAGGTGACTTGATTTTAACCAACTTTGTTTTTATTCTAAGT